CATGCAGCTGGAGGATGATGATGGTCGTCTCGGTGTTGTTGGAGACGTGGTTGTGGCCTGTGGCTAGCGTGGCATAATGAATGGCAGAAGCATGAAGTCGCGGCTAGGGCCGGCTCGGGGAGTCGACAAAAGTAGCTTAACAAAAGCCAGTGCTGGAACTGAAAGGTTTACGATTGTTCCTGCTTCAATGCCACGACAAACTCAGCTTCCACCCGAAGCCTGGACTCGCAGCCATACTTAGCCGGACACCCCGAAAGACCTTGGCAACGATGACTTTACAGTACTTTGCATTTGGGCCAGAAGCTGCAATCCCTTCCTTTACATGAAGCCTTCAACTTCGGAGTATTGCATGCTCTTGAGCTGCATGCGCTCAGGGCTCATCATTCCAAAGCCTAAACCCGGCAAAACACGGTTTCCAGCAGCAAGGCCCCTTCAGCTCCTTTGCGGGATGGCCTGCGTCGCTGTGTGGTCTGCGGTGCGGCGTTCGCCACGCCGCAGCGGGCTTGTGGGAGCAGGGTGTACATGTGTAGTGTGCAGCCCTATGCGTCTGTCATATGTATGTATACTATCTCAAAAAGCCCTACAAGGTTACATTTACATGTTGTGTGAGTTTTTCTACGATCTCAGAGTCAGAGAATTTCCGAGACTTGTCCGAGATGGGAACTCAGCGAGCACGGGCTATCATCCAGCAAGACGTTAGCCAGCCTTCTTTCGGTCGATCATGGTTAAACGCATCATCGTTTCTCCCTCTTCCCCTTTCTTACACATAGTCCTAGACGGGTGTGGCATCACAAGGTCTGGCCCTCCACATAACAACTCCCCTGAACCGAACCACTCTCAGTCCTGAGTCAAGTCTTGCCAAGGTTGCGTATGCGCGATCACCTTCGCGGACGGAGGCATTGCACTGCGAGCTCCTGAAGGTGCAGTCGCATCTTGTGTCACATTGCAAGGCTTGCAAAGGCATCAGGCCTGTCCCCGGGTTTTAGTTGTTTGTGGCGATCAGTGGCTATCAAGAAAGTGAGACTCTGAAATGCCACCAAGCCAAAGAAAACCAAATCGAACGCTGTCGAAGAGCAGTTTTTAGATGCAGCTTTCGCCTGTCCAGTGTAACACGAGCCGGAGCGCCGGTGCAAAATCACACCAGGATAAACGATGTGATGCTTCTGATACCTCTGGCAGAAGGCAATTTGTAGCTGCCCTCCTTGCTGCTGTGCACGCATGCATGAGTTCTTCAGTCAAGTTTCAGTCACTCGAGCTACTTCCACTTGTTGTCACTCTCCAATCTCTGTCTTTCTCCCACTGTATCTTCATTGGAAGCTAGATAAAATACGTATTCCCTTGGCACGCTGAGGCTGTTGCACTTCAACACTTCCGGGACTGCAGCGTCGCTGGTGAGCCCTGTATGTTTCAAGACATGTGCTGAGGAGTTCAGAAGGCAGGATTTGCACAAGAAGTCCGAGCTTCAGTGCCAGAGGTTTCGTTTGTTTCGTAGCTTCGCTGTGGTTCCTTTGTACCCGCTTTTGGAGTGGTTCCAACAAGATGGCTGGCATAGAGATGTGAACTCGGTGCTTCCAGCCTGAAAGCTGCTTTTGTGCTTGTTACGCCCAGCTTTCGCAAGATCCTTGGTACCTGCGCCAGGTAGAGCCTCCAACAAGACACCCCAGCCGAAGCTCAGAATGATGGCCCCGGGAGAACATGAGCGGTCCCGACCTGGCAGGTGAGACAAGCTACTCCGAGATCGACGATACCAAGGCCGATGCATGTTGAGATCATGACTTGTGTGCTTTTAGGTGAGACTCCGTGATGCTTCTGGATTCCTTCGACCAGGGCGCTTTATGCGGATCCTCATACATGTTGTGTGTGATCTGCGAAACCAGAGGCTCGCAGAGCAAGAGCTTGGCGAGCTGCTACAGTGTTTCTTTCATGTTTCATGACCGCCACATGGCCCTGTCCCAAAAGCTCAACCTCAGAACGTTTCGAAGAGGCCCAAAGCATCTTTGCGTCCTTGAGCACCGCGCCACTGTACCGACCTTGAGTTTTGATCTGGGGTGTCCGGCATTTAGGGGTCGTAGTCTTCAGAGTTCATGTTTAATGGCCCATGCGGTGCCAGCGCATCAGGGTTTAGGTATGCTGTGCTGTTTAAGACTTTGTAAGCTAAGTTAACTTCAGGGTGCGTGCTTGCAACCATTTCTTTCCGGGTGTAGGCAAGACTGAGTAAGCAGCAGCTGCAGGAGTCTGACTGGTTCTGTTTGTTTTCAGAGCTGCACTGCTGCAGAAAGTGTTGATCGCAATAGCCGAGGTTGTGGTCCTTGTTCTGCCGCAGAAACCCTAAGCCTCGACAAGCATTAACACAGCCTGTCTGTAGCCCCGAGACCTTCAAGCCGTCGGTCCTGAGCAAAGACTTTTGTTCTACAGGGTTCGCTTCACTGACCGCTGCCCAATTTCACTCGTGGGCTCCAGGCACCAACAAAGTCTTTTGAGAGGTCCAGATGCATGCCGGAGCCTCCTGACGTGGCTTTGGTGGCCCTCAAGCGTGACGGGCCGGCGACCCATCGCTTGAGCTTTCTGAGTGTCGAAGACTTGGGGCATGCACCACAAGCTTTGATGAATGGTCCAAGGGTTGCATCATGGCTCGTGCGCTTCGAGTCTGTGGGCATCGTTAGTGCGACCATCAAATCCGAACGGTTTATGTGTAAATGTTCAACTGCACGTATAGATAGATGCATGCACATACTCTCTATCCGTTTGCCGATCTATCTTTCTATCATCTAATTACCTACCTATCTACCTATCGGTCTATCGATCTGTCGATGTATTGATGTGTCGATCTATCTAGGTGTCTAGTTGATCTCATCTAGTCTCAGCTAAGCTAACCTGATCTCATGTAGTCTACTCTAACCCGTTTAATCTATAGATGTGTGTGTCTATCTATGATTATGTACCTATCCACCTATCCGACCTATCCATCTAGCTATCCACTTAGCTATCTATCTGTCTGTCTGTCTGTCTGTCTGTCTGTCTGTCTGGCTTTCCGTCGGTCCTTCGGTCTTTCTGTCTGTATGTTCGTCTGTCCTCTGTCCTTCCGTCCGTCTGTCTGTCCGTCGGTCGGTCGGTCTGTCTGTCCGTCTGTCTGTCTCTCTGTCGATCTATCCATCTATCCATCTACGGATCAGTCTGTCTTTCCACCTATCCATCTATCCATCTATCGATCGGTTTCTCTGTCTAGCTGTACATACATACTTACCTACATACAGACATCGCCTGCAACATGCTGTGAAGCATCTTTTGCCAGGCTGCTCCGGAAGCCACACGACGCGCAGAGCCCTGACAAAAAGATGCACGGACGCTCCAATGCCAGCTTTGCATCAGGAATGCATGGAACTTGGTGATGCCATGTCCTATGAGAATCCACTTTTCCCACTTGCACGCAGACGCTTGCTCGAGCGCCCTGTTGTCAAGCCAAGTCGGGCCACCGGAAGAGATGATGCCAATCATCGTTTACAGGAACACCTTCCTCCAGGTCCCTCTCGAGGACAACGCCAGGTTCGTGCTTTTTCTAGTCTTTTGCTAAGCTGACTCATGACCTCTCACCTCCCTCCACTTGTGGCACCCAGCGTCCTCTCGGGTGGTGGCCAGAGCATCAGGCTTCGCCGCTCCTGCCCGCATCAATGAATCAATGTGAATGTTTGACCGTAATGCTTCAAGATGAGATGAATCCAGGAGCTCATAGGTGAACATGGACATCGCCGAGCAGCCAGCGTTCCAGCCCGTTTGTTGTGCCAGGCCACCCGGCAGCATCTGATGCGACCGGAGTCTTGCTTCGGAATCGTTGGCGTTTCAGATTTGTGGAAGATGCGAGCGTGCATCGAGCTCCCAAAGGACGGGCCACTGCGACAGGAAGACACACACATGCATGTCATATGCGGAGCCGTGTTGTCTCCGTGTACGAACTTTCCTGCCAGAACTCTTTAAGATAATCCTTTTTGACAACTTCAGGACATTTCTGCAGGCAGCTTTGTGTTTGGCATGTTCTGGGGATAGCAGCCGGCTTGCTGCTGCTGCTGCTGCGGCAGAATCTGTCGAACCTGAAGCCTTGAAGCCTCCGAAACGTTGCAGGCATGAAGTCCTCGCTTCAGACCACAAAGATGTTAGAAGTTGGCTCCATAGCCTTACAGACTTAGAGACTTCATAGCCTAAGACGTGATTTTCCAAACTGTGATCCGCAGTGGCCCAGGCCGGTCTCGAGCCGGACCCAGGTCCAGGTCTGGACAGATACTTGTCAAACGTGTCTTGGCCGAAGGAGTTGAAACTTTGCAGTCTTAGTCTTTGGATTGTGCTTCTGTGAAGGCTGCAGCCTGCTTGCTGTGGGTTGCCCTTGCTTCTGCAGGGTTTCGGGCTGGCTTTGAGTAGCGTAGGCTTTGCAGCACTTGGAGAGAGTTCAGGCTGTGCATCGCCTGCTCTGAAGAACTTCCGATCTGGAGAACTTCTGACATATGGTCATCATGAGGACTTGATCGAACACATACTATATGCAAAATGACGAGGCAAAGCCACAATATGAGACTGCGAGCATGCAGACACCACAGGACGGACGACGGTTTGAAACGCAGACCGTCAGCGGACTTCGTCAGCCATGACATGTGAGTGCGCGGGCATAGGCATAGTCATCAGAAGACGAGGCTCGAGGGGATCCCAGTGCTTTGCACCCGTACTGTAGTCGTGGGTTTGTGGAATGTTCCGGCTTCGAGACGTCATGCCTTTCTAAGGAAGGTGGTGCAGCGTCAGGAGCGCGAAGGCACCTTCCCGGAGTCTTAGTCATAGTCTTCGTTGCTAAGTATACGACAGCCACACAAGATCAGAACAGGAAGATTCGGACATGGCAGCCGCAAACTGAGAGCCTTGGCTCTCGAAGAGTACATGTTGCGGTTGTGACAGCTTAGGTGGCCCAATCTCTTGGGCAGTTTTGGGCCCAGGGTATCCCACCAGCCCCGTGGACTGCCATGGTGCGCAACAGAGAGGGAGCAGCTTGATTTCACAATTGATTTCACTTTCTGCCCCAATCATTGCCGGCCTTTGAGCTTTGACCGTAAGGCCGACCAGCGTCCAGAAGCTGCTTTGGAGGAGGCGGAGGAGGTCCTTCAAGGTGAAGTTCACCAGACTCCGGACGATGCCCGTCCGCAGACCGAACTGGCTATTCCGAGTTCTGCAGGCTCTGGGACATCGTTTCAAGGGGTTCCTTCAGCTCTGGATGACTTGTCCGTCACGGCCAATGGCGAGCCGTGCTTTGCTCCACCTTGCCTGAGCACGGAAAGCTCAGCCTCCGCTGGAGCAACAAAGGCCGATGGGCCGATGGGAGCGTTGCTTTGCAAAGCGCAGTCCGCTAGCAGCAAACGAATCCTTTACGCTTTCACTGTGTGACGGTCTTTGCGCAGGACGACGAATACGACGAGCATGAAAGTCCCCTGGCAGTCCTCCCTGGTCATTTGGGACATCCTGAGTTTTGCCGGCGACCTTGCATTTTGTTCTCGGCAGGGCACCTTGCTTGCGCTGGCTGCAGTTTCTTCAGGTATATGAGTGTTATATGGCTCTGCAAATGCCCGTTGCAACTTGTGGTCCCTGCTTAGGAACTGTGAAGCGGGCATGGGCTGCAACTACTGCCATCTGCCTCATCATCGGAAGGTCAAGCTGCCCCAGGTCGGGAGGGACGTTTACTAGTTAGAGTAGAGAGGTAGCGTACAAACCCGCCAACGATTGCGACCTGATTTTTCACACACAGTCCGCTACGCCTTCCTCTCCTTTTAATTCCGTGGGCTCCAGACACGGGAAAAGACCGGAAATGTGGGGCTTCGGCTTGTGGCACAGTATGTGTAGTGTTTGGGCTTAAGACTACGATTTTACCCTTTCACTTCCATTTACCATGGGCAACCTTTCACGGACAGCCCAAAAAGTACCTCAGGGCCTTTTGTAATACTGGCGGGCCATGATCGTAGTCACAATTGCTCGCCACGCTTCAGGCCATACGTTGCAAGCTGAAGGCGACGCGTGCAACAGAGCGTCTCGAAATCCTGATGCAGATCCTGCGCAAGAAGGACAGGACGGCACTGTTTTTGACGCCTTCATTAGGTGTCGACCTCCGTTCCATCAGCTCAGTCGAATGCCGAGGAGGCTGGGATGCCCCGCACGCTTCCTTCCATTCAGAAGTTGATCAGCATTACGCACGAGGCAACGCCGAGCTTAGGAAGTTTCACCAGATGCCGGAGCAAGCATTGGCCGCTCGTGGTTTTTTGGCAGGCTTTGGATGCCGCCAACTCCTCCCAGGCCTCTTCTCCTGATCGGAGAGCAGCGCAGGCAGGAAGGACAGTAAGATTCCGTCTTGGAGCTAGAGCTGCAGTAGCACCAATGGCGGGTTTTTGGAGGGCAGAGCATTAGGCCCGGCCTTGACCCTGGCAGGCAGTTCTGGCAAAGATGCCGGTGGCTGCGCTGCTAGGCAGTCAGCCTTAAATACAGCTTTGTGGGACTGGATGCAGGTTGCGCTAGTTCCGTAGACATTTCATGGATTGGATTGAACAGGCTTCAGATGGCTCCACGTTTCTGTTCTTGGATTCGTTGCTTGATCTGTCCACTGCACCCGCCTGGGGCCGCCTCTACTACTGTACACTGTCCAGTATCACAGTTGCCAGACTCGATGCGCACGACCGAGGTGAGTTTTTCACTTCTGACTTCGATCCGGAAGTTCGGGTCTGCTTGCAGCAAGAACTTTCGGATCTGCGTGCGCAGTGTGCCAAGATGCTCGCACATTCCAATCCTTAGATCTCAGTTCCGGTTGCAACTTCGTGCCTGACTTTTTTTGGCATGATACAATACATGCAACGACAGAAGCAGCCACGCCTGCCCACTTGTAGTCCAGTCATGTTGGTCGCTGAACAAAGTCCTCGACTGGAGACGTGCGAAAAAGCATACACTTGCCAGGTTCATCACAGAAGCAGCTTTCCATCCTTGGCAGAAGAAGTGCAGGATTCGCGAGACATTTTTGGTGAGCTAGATGATCAGGGCCAGTGGGACTTTGCAGCGCAGCCAAGAGCATCGACTTCGAGACATCTTGCACGGTTAATTCGGGATCCACACCGTTTTCACGCGACCGCCTGTCATGCTGTTCCAGTGGGCATTTGCTTGCTTGGCAGTGGCTGCTGCGGTTGGCCATGGTGATGGAGAGGACTGCAGTAGCAGCTTCATACAGAAGCGCGGCCATCAGTTTGGCATTCGTTCGTCAGATTGTCAGTGCCCCGGCTGCCCAGCATCCGGAGCGACCAAGGCTCCAAATGTTCTTGAGGCCATGGCCAATACGGGCACCGACAAGGGCCCCTCCCGACACCAGTATCAGCGCTACTACGACAAGTGGCTTGCCCCTTTTCAGTTCAAGCAGGGCTTGAAGCTTGTGGAGATCGGTGCTGAGCGTGGGGGCTCGTTGCACATGTGGAGCAGCATGTAGCTGATGCAGGCCTTGAGCCCGAGGTTCCGTTCCCGCAATACACGCACATCTATTCGACGTGGAGAGACGGCAGCTGTCCTTTTCGTACTTGGGGCAAACCTTGCGCACAACCTTCCACTGGTTTCACTATAGGTTGCGCATTACGGACTTTTGAGGTGATTCATGTGGAAAGGTGCACAAGGATGCTCCGTGTACGAGAATTCTCCGGCATCGTGTTCTGTCAAAGAACACACGGGGCAGCGGCACAGGTTTCGCGCACTTTTTCTTTAAAGATCACGGGACACCGCTGACAAGATGAACACACAAGCTAGCAACCACACCAGTATGTGTGTATGTGACCTGATTGATGGCCGAAGGCTACGCCTTTGGTGAAACTGAAACTAGGATCCTGTCGCGGAAGCAGTGAGGTCGTGGCTGCCCAGCTCAAACTGCTGTGCAGTGGGCTGCCAAGCCTATGAACGACTTGCCCCGACTTTATGGGATTCGCGGCAAGGTGATATCGTCGTACACGCTTGGCGAATGATTGTGTTTCAGTTGAAGCCTTCCGTTGACTCCACTGAGCAGCCAGCAAGGTTTGCCGCTGGAGGGAGCTTTCTTGCACTCTGGCAGCTCCGAGGTGAACTGTTCGAGCACCAGCTTGAACATGTGGACGTCAGCTCGGATGCTTTCCGAACCTGTCAAGAGGCCGGCTGTAACTCCATCATGTGGAGGCCTCGCTGCACACGACAGCATAGCGTGTTTATTCAGCATGCTGTGGCACCTTTTCGAACCGAGGAGATCTTTCCGTTATTTGTCCAATTCAGAGCATGAATCTGCTGATATGTGAATAGGCTGGAGCAATGCAGACTTCGGCAGGCTTATGGTTGCACAAATCGAAGCGGTTCGTGGAAGAAACTGTAGACAGTCTTTGTTGGTTCTCGACCTTGGACACTTGCGCAGATGTTCCATACCATGGCTGCAGGTGCACAGGTCAGTTTGTAAAGTGGCCATTTTAAACTTCTGTGACACACCGATGGTAAGGCACGACGTCTATAGGTGCGACAAGCTCGGCTTGTGACAGTGTCCGCTGTAGACATTCGTAAGCAGATAGTGTGAAAGGCGTGTATGTATGTGTGTATGTATATATATATATATATATATATTATGTATGTATGTGTGTATGTATGTCGTATGTGCACCCACACCTACGCACACATCAGTATGTATATATACATATATATATATATATATATATATATATATGTGTACATATATATATATATACACACATGTATGTATGTGTCAATGAATATGGATGTAATGCAACGTGTGTGCATATGTATGTGTGTGTCTATATAGCTATACATACACACACACACATATATATATATATATATATGCACACATGTGCATGTGTATATGTGCATGCGGGTATGTGTATACATGCCGACATGTATTCATAAATGTATGTATGTATGTATGTATGTATGGATGTACTGTGTATGTATGTATGTACGTATGCATGTATGTATGTAGGTTCACGTATGTATGTGTATATGCATGTATATGTATTTTTGTATATGTGTGCATGTGTATATGTGTCTATGTATCTATGTATATGTATACGTATATGTGTATGTATACGTATGTGTATATGTGTATGTTTATGTGTATGTGTATATGTATGTATGTATGTATGTATGTATGTATGTATGTATGTATGTATGTATGTATGTATGTATGTAGGTGCGTAGATACGTAGATATGTTTATACATAAACATAGATATAGAACCATCGGTTGGGTTGATGGATGGTGCGCGGGTGGGTGGGTGGATGGACGGACGGAGGGATGGACGGATGGATGGATGGATGGATGGATGGATGGACGGCTGGGTGGGCTGGTGGGTGGATGGATGGACGGAGGGATGGACGGACGGACGGATGGATGGAGGGATGTGTGTGTGTGTGTGTGTGTGTTGAAATGTTGATAGATCCGTCTAATTACCTGTTTAGCTTCTTTGTACACAAATGCGTGTCGACATACGTGTAGCCCAGAGAGGCAGCGGGCTAGTAGGAAACCCGGTGACCGGCCACAGGAAATTTGTAGAGCCTGTCAGCCCTTTTAAAGTAGGACAAGAATACACAGACTTAGTTCAACACGGCGGTGCGTTATTGGAGGGCGGGAAAACGCACCCGCGTACATGACCCGTAACCTCTCCACCCGGTGCGTTTCTGGTGGGCTGGAAAACGCACACGTGTGCCTGACCATGCGTTTTTCCCCCCACCCCCCCGCCGCCCCCACACGCCCCCCACCCCCCTTCCGCCCGCCCTCACCCCGCCCTTTCCCTCCCACCCCGACCTCGGCCCTCCCTGCCCGCCCCTCCCACCCTCCCGTCTTCCCAGCCTCCCACTGCACAGCAGTCGCTCAAGTGTGGATGTTGCGTGCAGATCCACATTGGGGTTCAGGGGTTTATGATAAAGGGCACGTGGGGTTTCGAAGCTCAGGGTTTTAAAAACCACATAGGTGCGCAAACCACAACACTGGATCTCCCACCCGAAACCTCCCAACTTCCAGGCAGGGTTCCTGTCCAGGTGCGTTTGCCAGGCGGCAGAACACGCACATCGGTAATTGGGATCGCTGGTGAGCGTACTATCTGTGAGATATGTCTCATGCTAGCCAAGCGCTTTCAAGCGCATCCAAGCGCATTCGCATCTAAGCGCTGCTTGAGAACAACTTAGAGTAGGACCAGCACCCAACCCTACGTGCAGCCCACATCAATCCTGTGGCAACTGTAGGCATCTAACGCAACCGCCCAGGGCGAGCCATTAGCCAGTGTGGACATTCGACTTGCAGCCATATCTTGGAACGACTGCAGAGACTGCAGAGACATCGGCACGAAATGATGACGTTTACAGGCTGAGGTCGCTCCATCGACCAGAGAGAAAAAAGGTTGGAGAGCCCGGAAAGGGTTTGGGGCCTTTGCTTTTGAAAAGAATTGGCTCGGCCGACTGTCCGGGGCGATGTTGCATTGACAACAGGGGGAGAGAGTCTTTAGAACAAGATCCTTGCTGAATATCCCAACAATGGCTGCAACAACCATGAAGCTCAATTGACCCATCGCCGGCTTTACGTAGGTCTTCGAGAGCACAGGTGCCATTTCTCAATCTCAAGAATTGCCCACACATCCCTCGACTCCCGACGTCCGCATGCACTCCGAATGAAAGATCGCAGTCGACATCACAATGCTGCGGCGAGGTGCTCATCGAGATGAGGCGAGCTTTTTTGTGCTCCCGCTTGGAGTCGGCACCTTGGAAGCTGAGCTGAGCCGTGATGCTGTGTTTCCCTGCAAAATTAGAATTAAAAGGTTGTGGATTAAGGCAAGCAATTACATGGTTCAGGGCTGAGAGGTTTGAAGTCCAGGGATGTCCAGGGTATACAGCGTCTGCGAGTTCCCTTGTGCGGTCCCTTGCTGGTGGTCCCTTGCAGCCGGTAAGAAGGCTGGACCGCGAAGGTTGCTCCCACAAACTAAACGCAGGAAAATGCAAACCCCAAACAGCACCGTAAATTACTAAAAACACCACACTCCAAACGCTCTTGGCCGCAGCCTGAGTCTTAGGTGTCTTAGTCGTGTCTTTGGGGTTGGGCAGGTATAAACGGCCCAGAGCGATTGGCTTTAACACCCCAAACGCCGAATCCCTAAACCCTGATAAACCCTGGATCCCAAACCTCATGTAGGGGCTTGATACCTACACTATTGGACTTGGTATTAATTTTTATGCTGAGGGTTTTCATTTTTATGCTGTGCACCTTCCCGTCTCCATTGACCTCCATGTCTCCATCCCATCGTCGACAGGCTTTGTTCTTATGCGCATGGAGTCTCCTTTTATGCTTGAGTTTTCTCCTTTTTATGCTGCTGGTTTCTATTTTTATGCCAATCTGACCTATATTTATGCGGCCCCATTTCCTTGTTATGCTTGATGGGCCGGCTCGGAGGGTGGGCAGGCCTGGCCCCATTGCCCCTTTCCATTTTATGCTTGAGACTGGTGTCAGTTTTATGCCAATCTGACTTTTTTTTATGCTGCCCCCCCTCTCCCCTTATGCTCCATGGGCCAGATGGAGGCGGCGAGAGGCTTGGCTCAATTGCCCATCTGGGCGAGCCTGACTTTTCTTTATGCTGCCCCCCTCTCCCCTTATGCTCCATGGGCCAGATGGAGGGGGCGAGGGGCTGGGCTCCATTGCCCATTTGGGTGAGGCTGACTGTTCTTTATGCTGCCCCCCCCTCTAATCCTTATGATTCATGGGCCAGGGGGCGAAGGGGCTGGGCTCCATTTGGGCGAGCCAGATTTTTTTTATGCTGCCCCCCCACCCCCCCGGTTTTGTGGATTTCCGGGGTTGTGCTTCCAGAAAGAAAACCTAGGTTTTGCACAGCTGTGGCAAATATGGCTGAATTTTCGAAAATACGTTTAGGACGGTTTTTCAATACCGAAGTTCGCCTTCAAGCGCGGACGGGTAGGACCGTCAGGCGGTCGTGTAACTACTTTAGAACGGCACATAGCTTGAAGGAAAAACCATCCAATGCGTTGGGAAAAAACAATAAGTGTAAAATCGAGTTTCGCAGGTGCTATAGTGTTTTGGCAGATTTGGACAGCTGTTTCGCGTTTCAGGAGCGCATGTGGTTTTTGCTGATTTTTCGGTTTCTGTTTCCAGAGCGAAAACCTAGCTTTTGCATATATAGCCGTGACAGATGTGGTTGAATTGTCACAAGTACCTTTATGGCGACTTTTCGCTGACGAACGTCACCTTTAAGCACGCAGGGGTAGGACCCCCAGGCGGCCGTGTAATCACTGACGACGACTACGACTACGACGACGACTACGACTACCACTACTATACGACTACGACGACGACTACTACTACTTCTACTACTACGACGAAGTAAAAAACGTCCTTTCCATCACACATGCAGGAGAAAGCCACACGAATTTGCTTTACAGGTGTTAAGAAGAGAAAAAGTAAGAT